AAGGTTAAGAACGAAAAAAATGACGTCACGCGAATATTATTAATAAAAATTCAGTGAAAGGAGATTTCGCTTCAGTGCCTGTTCATTGACTCAGCTGGACTAGGTCCGCGCAATGTATAGGAAGATATATGCACTTTGCACTTTCCTTTGCCCATCTATGTGCACAGTACAGTTGATGTCGTCGCAATTTGTTAGGGCTGCATCAGGAGGAATGAAATGAGCCCCTACCCCCACCCCCCCCCCGGGAGTTTCTGCCACTGGTTGTTTCGTTCCCACATCGTTGGTTAACCAATCAACCCTGGTGGAGGGAGGCAGCTGGAGGTGAGCCCATCTCCCCCTAGTAACAACCTCGCCCCAGACTGACTGCGAAGTTATCAACTATATCTGTCGCTTTTACTGGCTACGGGGGGGGGGGGGTACAAGGAAATCGTTTAGTTTCCGTTTTCGCACGTGCCCTTAGACGGAAACTAAACAAAGGAATATCCTCCCTCCGTTCTAGTTCCCTTATAGCGTTGGGAGCGACGAAAGAGGCGTTACGGTGTTGTATCCTCAGTGAGACTTAATTGAATCAGCATGGAAATATCAAGTGAACCAACTAGAAAATGCTCTGTTCGTTCTAGGTGTAATTTAAATTGAAAATCCTGGGAACTCCTGAGAGGCGGGACTTACGAGTGGGCGGGATTTGCGCCTAGTCTCCCAAATGAGATTTTTTCATGTGGCGGGCACATGTTCATGTACGCTTCGTACTTGCAAGACAAGAGTAGAAGTGCTGTACGTGAATCAAGAGTGTGTCCTAATCGGACGTGAAATTTCAAAGAACTTCAGTAGGACTTCATTCTTGAAATCGCATCTCGCACTATTTGGGTAGGCGGAGTCACTTGCCAACCGAGCCTCTCTCATCGATGGAGTACGCCACTGGAAGGAGCAGCGAACCAATAGGGAAAGCGGGATTACTGCAGTGATTCCGACCATTTGAAGCACCGTTGAAGTAAACCGCTGTTGTCGTTTGCCCATTGCAACAGTTGCTAGGGGCTGGCACCGAGCCAAAATCACCTTAACCAGGCACGCCCCATCGTCTGCTGCAGAAACGACTGTAATTCTTCTAACCATCTTTCTTGGATGACTTCATAGAGCGATTATTCTGACAGTAATATCAGTGAACCACGAGTAGGAAGCCATGGGAGTAGGTCGTATGAAGAGAGGTCCCCAGAAATAAATACTTCTGGCTGCCAACCAGTGTCACGAATGAACGTCCATCACATTTGTTGTTGTTGCTGTTGTTTTTCCTGCCAAAACTCTTCAACAACTCAAGCAATTTTTCGCTTTAGCTGCTGAAGAGTTTGAGCTGTCAAGGAGCCTCATTAAGGTCTGAATGCTACACATCACAAACAAGCATCAAAACCTGTTCACAGAGAGAACCAAAAACATTCGAGAAGAGTTCAAAACCTCCCAGCAAGCCTTAGATATCGGTAGGTAGCGTCTTCATTATGCGTCTTTAGTCTGCCTCTTGGTCAACCGGTCATACGGTACAGTATACTAATTGGTAACCCTTCGAAAGCTTTACGCCTCAAAAGAATAACTCTGTTTCAAAGGCTAACAGTTGTCCCTTCAAGGTATTTGAACCTGGGAAAGGATTCTCTTCCGACTTTCCTGTAAGAATACTCTTTTGTACTCTGCCGCCGGGGAAAATTTCTGGAAAACTCTCCCCCGCCCCCACCCCTTCAAGGCACGGTCCGCGATAAGGAGTGTAGGCAGGGTTTTGAGATTTGTAAGAGAATTCGCGAAGAGTCTTGTCTGGGAAGAGAAAATGAGGGAAGGTAACGTCAGAAACCCCTTTAATGATGCCCCTCCAGCCTCAAACTTGTGCCGGTAGAAGGCTAAACGACCGCGTGTTGGCAAGAGTCAGTCAGCGGACTCCTTACAATGAACGCAAAGACCCCACAAAAGACTATGGAGCACCCCTTTCATGCTATTTGTCCGGTAGCATCGCTTTCTTCTGGAAGGCGGAGTCTGGAGGAGGAGTCACTGGAAGAAAGGAGGTGTCACTGGAGGAAATTCGCGCCTTAACTTTTTTACCTTTCCGGCACGAAACTGGCACTAGGTTGTCCATTGCGTACAGCACTAGTGTTCGGGGACCGTTCCTTCGGAAGTTCCTTCTCTGGTACGAGACCTTCCCCTTCGCACCCCTACTGCCGTCTTACTGACTTTTCCCCTGTCCATACCACTTTCTTTTCCATTTCTCTAAGTATTTTCCAATTATTTCTCCGAGAAAATCGTTTCAAAGTCAACAACCCGAAATGCCTCTTCTCGCGCACGGAAAGTTTCGTCAAGGCCAGATATTGTCACCTCCCCTCAGAGCGCGAGCCAAGTACAACTGCTCCCCCTGCACTACCCCAATGAGAGTCTCTCAGCGATGTGGATAGCACGCGTGGGAAAGGAAAAATCAGTTTTCTCAGGCCAAATATGACCCACCCTCTCTAGCAACCAAATACGACCCTCGGTGGGAATTCCCCAGCGAATGACATGCTCTTGTTTGCTCCTCGTCCTCAACCACCAGAGTCCTTTTGAATTAATATTTTTGACGTCTATTATCATATTCATTCAATATATTATGCTTATTTGACATACATACATAAGTTAGAGGAAATCGAACAAACAGATGGTTCGTATCGAGTAACTGAAAATAGCAGATGAACTGGTCGGCATGGCAATTAAGCTCCTTTCCTCCACCTTACAATCGGATTCTCAGCTCGGAAAAGGACAAATGGTGAGCTCTATGAATTTCGCTGCACCTTACAGGGGCACAAAATATTACAACAAATTTGGGTCACTTTTTCTCCATGCCACAAATCTCTAATCAGGAACAGGTTTGACGAGAACCTGCTTCTTGGATCAATGATCGCTATGAAATTACACACAGGCCGTTGAAATTGCAGGTTCGTAATCGTCTAATAACACCCTTTGCATTCTGCACAGCCTCACAGGTATTGCACAATGGAAAAGAAAAAGATGTAGCTCCGTAATGTTCACTTGGATCAATTGGAGGAGGCACCCTAGCCATTAAGTGCTTCTTCAAGCCGTTTGCTGCATGCGCACCCATGGGATGTAGTTCGTCTTCCCTGCCTACCCCTGGCAAAACCAAGAAGGTGTGGAAAATGTTCTGTAAGTCCAGGACGAACTCAGTCATAGCAAGCCTGGACTTTAGGCTATCTCTGGACAATGTACTGTCCAAACAAATGGGAAAAATAGAGAAGTGCAAAATTTTTGTCTTCATTGGGTCAACACCCATCACTGTTCACCCCATTTTTTGGCATCCTATAAGCGCTCTGGAGAAATGAGCCTCGTTTCTGTGGTCCAAGTACGTACAGCCATGGTCTCTACAAAGGGCAGGGCGTATGGAGTGGCGTGATTTAGAACGCAGCCAGGGCGGCGTTCTCCACCAATGATGGCCAGCCTGGGTCCACAACAATTGCTGAAAGCTTCCCTGAGTGCGGTCCAAGTCACGTTCGCAAACCCTGTCGTTAGCAGGGTTCGTGACTGTACACAGGCCCAAAGCATGCGGTATACCGTTGCGGTGGAACGATCTGAACCTGAACCCTGAAGGACCCTTGCTAGATAGAAGGACTGACCGTTCGAAGTTCTACAAGAAAGAGAAACCTCTCGTAACAAATGGAGCAATTACAGGCCCCTACTAACCGCTGGTTGAATGGTACGAGACTCAGACTCGTTGAGAGGACAGGTACTGAGTTGCAGAACGGCTGGCCCGTACTTCAGTGTCTGGGCCAAAGGCCAATACGATTGAAGGGCACAGCTCCCTCCTCTTCGCTCATCCCCCTAACTGTTGATGGTTTTGGTGGAAAAACCTTTAAAAATGAGTGGGAAGTTATGTGAATTTGGCAAGGTGTAGATAAACTGGGAGACACTGAGACACCGTGATGTCTCCTCATAGTTCCCTTTCACTCCTCCTAACTCAAAACTTTGGG